AAACAAAAAATTAGAATAAAAGAGGTCTAAGAATCACAAAGGGTTCGGGAAACAAGTTTTTGAGATGCCTAAACCCCCTCCCAGCAATGAGAGAGCAGCCCAAAGAGAGGAAGGAAGAGTTGACAGGTCTGAATATTTTCCCGCCTTTGCCTCTGCTGACGTGAAGTTTGTAGTTTTGGGGGGGGGTGGTATTTTTTTCTTAGGGGTTCGTTGACAGAAAAGCAATCTTAGAAGTCCTACGCTTCTTTCCTCCTCTTCTCTCTTTGACCTTACGTGAAAACAGGGTATATTTGAACACATGGAATGTCCTCCAATCGAAGCAGAAGTGAATGGCTCACTGGGATTTGCTGATGCTTTCTTGTCTGGACATCTTTGTTGCACTTAGAGTTTACATATAATGGGTATTAAAACAACTTTGAAGGGCCCTCGTCCACCTCAGTCGGGAGGCCCTTCAATAGGTGTGTGTTCTGGTGAACATTCATATATATTTATTGGTTATAGCCAGTTTAAAATATTTTCCCTTTTTTTGTATTATTTATCCCCGATATTACGTATTTATATGAGGGAAAGAAAGAAAAAAAAAAAGAATCAAATTGTACTTTTTTAGTATTTACTTGTTACAGAGGACATTGTGTTTTCCTTGTCATTGTACAACGAGCTTATTTTAGTTATTGTAATTTAGAAAGACCAGTAGTTTTATGTTACCTTCGTACTTATGAATAATGTAATTAGTTCTACTGGAGGCATGAGAGCAGAACCAGACTGTAATTGTATAGTCCTGAATTAGAACTATAGCTAATCCCTCCCTCCCACCTCACCCCTCCTCTTTGGAGATCTTTCTTTGTTCTTACAGTAGTTATTTTATTTCCTCGCTTAAAGGGTTGTCTGTCGAACAATTCTTGAATAAACTTTCTGTTATCAATTTTTATCTCGTCCTATCAGTCGGATTGAAAGGTAAAAAAAAAAAAAAAATAGGTTGTTTGTAGGTAAAAAAATCGCGAAGGGAAGGCGAGGAAGGGGCGGGGGAGTGGAGGTGCCAGGACTGGGCTCGGCGATCCATGTTTGGGGGGAAATCCTGGGAATTGGGGCCCCCTCCGCGCATCCCAACCCGCGCCCGCGGCCACAAAGAGGGAATCACGTGGCGCCGGGGCCGGGCTTCCATTGGGCCGCGAAGGAAAACAAAGGAAAAGGATTAATCCCAAAAAAAGGAAAAAAAAAAAAAAAAAAAAAAAAAAAAAAAGGCGAAAAAATAGGGAGAAATTAAAAAAAAAAAAAAAAAAGCCCAGACTTTCCACGCGGGACCTCGGAAGTGAAGAGAAATTAAATCTCTTAATGAATTAATGAATTATCGTGTTATTTAATTATTAATAAAGAAGCGAGGGGGTGCGATGCACACGCGTGTACACACGAGCACACGCGCACGCACACACGTGTGCACAGGCGAACACACGCAGGACACACACACACACCCCCACACCCCACACGCATCCAAAATCGTGATTAAAAGGGGGCGAAAAGCCGCCGCCGAATGTTACACCATCAGTGAGAGCAAAAGGGAGAGCAACCCTCTGCCAGCAGCGAAAGCAGATGGGGGAATACCGTGAATAATTTGCCTTTTATGCTCCAAAGCCCTAAGAAAACTTATATTAAAGCAGCGAGGAGCAATAAAAGTTTTATGGTCCTGCAAGAGGGGCGAAGTGCTCGTCGGGCTCGGAACGCTCCGTTCCTGGGGCCGAGGAGGAGGAGGGGAAGGTCCCCTGTACGGGAGGAGAGGGGGATTTGATTCCCGCCGGGAGAAAAGGGGCGAAAAGGCTGCAAAAGGCACCGAAAATTCGGGGTGGGCTGTGGAAACAACGCGTGAGTGTGTTTTAGACACCTGCGTGCGCAGCCAGAGGTGTCCGGGTAAACCCCCGGGGGTAAAAAGGCGCAGCGGAGAGAGGCTCCCGCGAGGGCTGAAGGAATGATGCCGTTCTTCCCTGCTCCCTCCCAATAAATGAAATTCCAGGTTAATAATTATAACCCCCCCGCGAGAATAAATAACGGGAGCGCGGAGAGACAGGGCTTGTTTTCCTGCCCGGGCCCGGGGCCGGGTTCTGCCGCCCATGCAGGGAACAATTCACCGTCCGGGGTTACTATAATTTAAAAGCATAAAAGCGTGCAGGCTCTGATGGGGAATCGCCTCAAAGAACAAGGGGTCGGCGTCGCCTTCCCCCCTCCCGCCCCCCTGGAATGTATTTTTCCCGTCGCCATGTTGCCGGGTCGGTGGCAGGGATTCCCGGGAAATAGTTACAACCGGGAAAAAAGGGAAAAAAGACAAAAAAAACACCAAAAAAACCCCAATTCCGGGGCTCCGGGCGCGACACCTCCGCGGGTTCCGTCCCCCACAACTCCTCACCGCCCCGGTTTAATTCGTGCCGCAGCATTAAAGCCGCGGGCCCGGGTTTGTCTCACAATTCTTGCGTTTCTCCATCGTTCACTGACCCCGCGAATTTATTCCTGGGATGTGACGCCTTTCCCCTTGAGTAGGGAGATTTTTTTTTCCTTCCCTTGTGCCTCCTTGTGATGCGTGGGAAAAAAATTCCCTTTTCCCCCAAGAGGTTCTTTTCGCTTTTATTTTTTTTTAATCTCTCTCCTTTCTTTTTTTTTTTTTTTTTTCCCTCCTCTTTTTATTTTTTTTTTTCCTCGCAACTCGGTGTGAGCAAAAAGCGGAGACAACTGTTGGGAGCAGCTGGAAGGATTTTCCTTTTGCATCCCAAACTCTTGCACTTCATCCCGGCTCCTCAGTGACCCCTCGAAAAGGAAGGACTTTCAGCCTCGTGGCAAAGCCCGAGACGCCCAAATTTCCGCTTGATTCCAAACGAGAAAAAAAAAAAAAAAAAAAGATGGGAAACCCAACTGTTCTTTTTCCATTGATCTGCCGAAATTGAGTAGATTTGTGGCGATTTTGATAAGTGCATTGACAATGTAGAACATTGCAGGAAAATCTCCCCTTAATCGAGCTGGTTTGTAATTTTTTTAAAATTATTATTATTATTATTTTCTTTACCTCTTTGCTAAACTCTGTGCTTCGGCCCCGGCTTCAGCTGCAGCTTTAGATTTGTTCTGTGTGTCTCCCAAACCCTCCCCACCCACACGGATGCTTGAAGTGACAAAAGTTTCCAGGAGGCTTCTCCCCTCTGTGAATGCAGCCGGTCCCTCCCGGCTGCAAAAACGGGAGAAATGGAGCTGGAACAAACAAATCCCAAACCAGCCCCTTTCCCGTTCGGCACCAGAACGGCTTCATCTCCCTCCCCCTCCCGAAATTTGTACTTTCTGCGTTTGGATTGAACTTTATAAATCTCTCCCGGGTTAAGCAACTCCTCGGCAAAAGCCAAATTTCTTTGCTGAGCGAGTCAGGCCGAGCTGTCAAAAGTCTTTGGAGGAAAAGATTGATCGTTCCTCTCTTATTTTCGGGTTGTGTTCCCGGGCACTTTAAAGAAGGGGAGGGGGGGGGGGGAGGAGGGAAATCTTCCTGGGAAATGACTTTTCATTTTATTTATTTATTTTGTAAACTCTGGAAGTGGCACTGTTTATTGGAGGTGGGAAGGAGGGGGGAAAATAGATGGGAAGGAAGAAATGTGATTTCCGAGATATCTGTGACCTTAAAACACGTTTGGCCTTTAAGGAAAGTGCAAAAGGTCCATTAAGTGTGGCTTGGGAAGCAGAAGGATTATGCTGTTCTTTAAAAGTCATTTAACCTGGTAAATCGGGCTGGTCTAAACATCCTTGGCTTAAAAGCTCACTTGATTTCCTGAGTGCTCATATCCAGGCTCGGACACAAATCTCTGGCCCAAACCCTCCCAGTGGCTTCAGTTTTCCGAGTTTCACAACATTGGGATGAGATGGAAACACCCCCCAGCAGTGGCGGCCAGAGCCCAGATCCAGCCGGGCTTCCCGGCGGGAAAAAGCCCCTTTTCCAGGGCCTGGGTCCCCCCCCGGGGGTGCGAACTCCGGGGAACTCCGAGGCTGGAGGGACCTGCTGCAGGCAGGGCAGGAGGAGCGGGAGGAGCACCAGGCTGGGCAGGAAGGGCAGGCAGGGAATGGAGGGTGGGAAGGACAGGCAGGAGAGGCAGGACAGGAAGGACAGGCAAAGAGGCAGCAGGCAGGAGGCAGGAAGGACAGGAAGGGAAGGCAGGGCAGGAAGGACAGGCAGGAGAGGCAGGACAGGAAGGACAGACAAGACAGGCAGGGTGGGAAGCACAAGCAGGGAAGGCAGCAGGCAGGACAGGCAGTGCAGGCAGCACAGGCAGGGAAGGCAGGGCAGGAAAGACAGGCAGGGAAGGCAGGACGGGCAGCACACACAGGACAGGCAGGGCAGGCAGCACAGGCAGGGAAGGCAGCACAGGCAGGGCAGGAAGGACAGGCAGGGAAGGCAGCCCAGGCAGGGCAGGAAGGACAGGCAGGGAAGGCAGCCCAGACAGGGAAGGCAGCACAGGCAAGGCAGGAAGGACAGGCAGGGAAGGCAGCGCAGGCAGGGAAGGCAGCACAGGCAGGGAAGGCAGCACAGGCAGGGAAGGCAGCGCAGGCAGGGAAGGCAGCACAGGCAGGGAAGGCAGCACAGGCAGGGCAGACAGCGGCCACCCAAGGCAGCCTGGCAGCCCCGGGGTGCTGGTGCGCGGTCGTGGCTTTTCGGGGGGTTCTTCTCTGGCCTTTTTTCTCCCTTTTTCAAATCAATTAAAGAAAATAACGCTCTCTGTTTGCCACCAGGCCCCGCCCGCCATTGGCCGGGGCTCGCCACGTGACCAGGAATTGGCTGCAATTTTCGCCCCAGTCTCGAGTTTAGCAGAGAAGGTTCCCCCTCCGCCCGTATTATCAGCAATATAACAATTATAAAAAGCCCGAGAACCACCATCAGCACCGCCATAAAAAACCCAGGTCCTCCGTTTTCTCTCCCTCTCCCCCTCCTCCTCCTCCCTCTCCTCCCCCCTCCTGCTTTTGAAACCCTGGGCCCTGGAAAAGCCATGAATTTTGAATTTGAGAGGGAGATCGGGTTTATAAATAGCCAGCCTTCGCTCGCAGAGTGCCTGACGTCTCTCCCCGCTGTCCTGGAGACATTTCAAACTTCATCAATCAAGGACTCGACATTAATTCCTCCTCCTTTTGAGCAAGCCGTCCTCAGCCTGAATCCTTGTTCCAGCAGCCAGGCGAGACCGAGGAGCCAAAAAAGAGCATCTCATGGCCTGCTCCAACCCCAGCCCCCGGCTCCGGCACAGCCCGGCCCCCTGGCAGCGGAATTCCCTTGGATGAAGGAGAAGAAATCGGCCAAGAAAACCACCCAGGCTCCATCCTCTTCTTCCTCTTCTTCCCCCCCGTCATCTTCCTCGCTGCCGGTCCCTGCCGCAGGATCTCCCGCAGGTTCGTACAACGAGGGGGTGAGGGGGGATTTGCTGAAATCCGAGAGGATCCGAATAATACAAAAAATAATCCTCCCCTCCCGTTCCCTCCCCCTCAAAAAAAAAAAAAAAAAAACCCCGACCCTCTCCCCAAAGGGGCTTTGCCCCGCACCTCCCCCGAAACTGTGTCACGGAATAAAACCCACCGAGCGGGGGACCCGGGGGGGTTCTCCTGCCTCCTCCCCCCCGCAAATAGAAGGGCAAATTGCTGGAACTTCAAACCAAGAGGGACAGCGAGGGGGCCGGGGGAGCCGCGCTCCACAGAGGGGATTTCGCAGCTGAACCGCAGCTCCTTTTTTGCTTGGCTTTCTCTCCTACCCCCGCGGGTTTTTTACAGCCTGCGGGGGAAAAAAAAGGGGAAAAAAAAAAAAAGGAAAAAGAAGAGAAACAAAACCTTAAAGAAGTGCAAGGGGGGGGGAAGAAAGACGGGTGGGTAACGCGGGGGTTGCTACCGGCGCGATGGGGAGGGGAAAAAGCGAGGCACGGGCTCTCAGGGTTAACTGCGAAATTAAATAATTAAATACACCCCCAAATTCTCCCCGAGCTTCCCAGTAAAGGAGCAGCTTCTCTCCTCGGCACTCCTCGGCCAGGGAGCTCGGGGACCCCGGCCGGGGACCCTCTTTCCCTCGGGATGAAGGGTTTGAGGCACAATCCACCGGTTGGGTGTTTGAACAGCCCCGTGCAGGTAAACGCTCGGGCAGGAGAAGGGCGGACACCGGAGCTCATTGGCCGCATAAAACAGGAATAATGAAATCAAAGCGTCCGTCCCGAACTGCCGGGAAAGGGGGGGGGGGGGAACAAAAAAAAAAACCAAAAAAAAAGGAAGGAATGGTTAAAAAAAAGGAAGGAATGGTTCGAAATTCCACTTATCGGCGAGGGAGGAAGGTCTCTGGAGGGAGAGGCCGGGGAATAAAATCCCTTCTCCTCACTGAGGCGAAGAGAGCGGATGGGGGGGTGTGGGGGTGTGATTTCCAATCCTCTTCCACGGCGGGAAGAGTTTAATTAAACATTTATTTCCTCACGTAGCGGCTTCCCCCGCACCCACCCCGTGCTCGGTAGTGCCGGGCAGGGAGGGGACGGCTCCAGCCCCTCCGCTCGCCCCCCCAGCTCCTCGCCACGGGCGCTTTTTGTGTGTGTTTAAGACACGCAGGGGCTCGGAGACGGCGGCGGCTCCAGGAGGCTCCGCACCGCCTACACCAACACGCAGCTGCTGGAGCTGGAGAAGGAGTTCCACTTCAACAAATACCTCTGCAGGCCCCGGCGGGTGGAGATCGCGGCTCTGCTCGACCTCACCGAGCGCCAGGTGAAGGTGTGGTTCCAGAACCGGCGGATGAAGCACAAGAGGCAGACCCAGCACAAAGAACCCCCCGACGGGGACCTCGCCTACCCCGGCCTGGACGAGGGCAGCGACCCCGCCGAGGAGGCGGAGGGGAGCCCCGGCTTGGGGCCGCTCCCGGAGCCCCGGGGGCCCCCCGGCAGCTCGGAGCCGGTGGCCGCGGGCGAGCCCAGCGCCCGCCCCGGGAGCCGCGAGTCGCCTCCGCTGCCCGAGCTGAGCATCTTCTCGGCGGAGTCGTGCCTGCAGCTCGCCCAGGGGCTTTCCCCGACTCCCCACGGCTCCCTGGAGAGCCCCGTCCACTTCTCCGAGGAAGACCTGGACTTTTTTACGAGCGCACTTTGTACCATAGATCTGCAACATTTAAATTTCCAATAGCGGGCCCCTTCTCTCTCTCTCTCTCTCCCCCCCCCCCCCCCCCTCGTTTCTGGACGTTTCTCCCCCTTCCAGGGGCACCAACCCCCAACCGAGCCACTGCCAGACCCCCCCCCTCGCCTCTGAGAGAAGGGGGGGCACCCCCAAAATAAACCTCAAGCCATTTCTCAGTCGATCAGCCCCTCCCGGCCCCCAAACACTTGCTTTTTTAAAAGCTCCTCACTTCCGTGAGACCCAAATCGCCTCGTCCCCTCTCCCCGATATTTATTCTAGAAGGCTCACGTGAAAGAACAGCCCGAGTTTTGCTAAATGCAGGTATTTAAGGATAGTTTTATTTTCGCTTTATTTATTTGAAGGAAAGCAGCCGGAGATGTCAGCCCTCGAGAGAGAAATATTTGTAAATCCTTCAAGCGACTTTCTCAGGAATCAGAACGAGACTTTTAGATTTCTTAATGGAACTAAATTTAAATGAAAAAATCAGGGGAATTTTCCTTCCTATTTTTAAGTTTTAGACGTAGACTATTTATTCAAATCCTTTAATAGCAAAGGGCAAATTATTTATTGTATATTATTTTCATAGAGTAAATAAATGTCTTTATAAAACCAAGAATCGTGCGTTGCTACCCATTTCGTTCCAAAATGTGCTATTTCTTCCCCCTAAATCATTCACCTTCCTCTTTCCTGCTTCGCAGTAATGAGGTTCTAATAAGCTCCTCGTGTGCACTGAGAGGAAACAAAAGAAATTGCTCCCAACTAACACTGCAAGAGGCTCCGGGAGTCAGAAATATTCGCTGCCTTCGGCTCTGTTCGCCTTTTCCTCGAGCTTTATTTCCTTTTTAATTTCTACTGAATGGAAGCAGGACGTTTCTGTCTGATTTTGCGTTTCTGTTTTTGAGATCGAAAAAAAAAAAATTACAAAAAAATCCCTCCGCTAAGGAAATCTCTGGATAAAGGGATGGGAAGCGACACAAAGGCAGCGCTGGGAGAGGCGCGGAGCCCACGCACATTCCGCGGCCATTCTCTTTCTCCCACATCCCGGCCTTCATCCCACTCCTCCTCCTCCTCCTCCTCCTCCTCCTCCTCCTCCCTTTCTCTCGCAGCAGAGAATCCAGCCGGGCCACATCGCAATTTCTGGGCTTTGAAACGTCCTGGGTTACAAAACAACAAAAAAAATAAAAATAAGGCGAAAAGGAGGATTTTGAGTAAACGCTAAAAATCCGCGCTGGGGGGGGGTGGGTGTGAGAACCGGCATTTTGGTCAAAAAATAAAACGTTAGAGAGGAAGGAGAGGAAAGAGACGGGCCTGAAAGAGGCCTTTCTTTTTTTCTTTTCCTCCCCTCTTTTCCAGCAGTACCAACCAGAACTCCCTCGGTCTTTATAAATCCAGGATCTCCTTCCAGGGCCGCTCGTGCTGCTCTCCCGGCTCGGGGATCCCTTCAAAACCCTTCTCTCGACATATAATTTTAAATACAAAACTCGTACATCGGGGAGGGGCGGGGGGGGGAGGGGGATGGGGAGGCTCGTGAATGAAAAGGGGTCAGCGCGGGGGAATCAAACGCGGCGACACCCAAAATAAATCACATTTACGTCTTCGCCGAGTCATCGGGGTTTCCTCAGCCGCGGCCGAAATTTGGGACGCCTTCGGGAGGGGTTTGTGAGAAAGCAGCGCGGAAAGGGGAGCCCAGGGGAGAGGGGGGAACACCTTAAAATGCGCCGAGGGAGGCCGGAGCATCCCCAGGGAGAGACGCTGCCACCAGCCCTTTCTTTAGGGTTAAGGAAAGCCCAGGCCGCCCGTCCCGCTCCTTCTGCTGCCGCGGGGACCCCCGGGGACCCCCGAGAGCTGGGATCTGCTGGGCTCCATGCCTGGGGAGCGTCACCCCCCCCGCCCAGGGAAAGCCTGGGAAACTCCAGATATTTTGTTTGGGATTCAAAGCGTCAGAGCTGGGCTCGCTTTGCACCCTCCGGGTTGTGAAAAGAAACAAAAAAAAAGAAATAAAGAAAGCGAGGCCTCGACAGATGTTTTCGAAATTGCTGTTCGAAGATCTGGATTGTCTCGAACAAAGGGGGGGATGTTGATTTTACGGCCACCTTTTCGTTCTCAGTAACATCGCCAGGCTCTTCCCTCGCCAGACGAGCAGACGGTTCAAACCTCCCAGCGCCTCGCTCCGGGGAGGTGCGGGTTTCGATCGAAAATCGAAGTGGATGGCAATCAAAACACGCGAGAGAACGTTACTTAACACCTTCCCATAAAGAAAAGGCAGCGTCTGGTGCGTGGCTGGCGGTGCCTGCAGACGAGTCGCCTCCTCGTCCCCGCCTGGGAGCCATCGCCCCCTCCATCGCCCTGCCCTCTCTCACCGACTCCTCTCCGCTCTCCAAGTCCCCGAGTCACGAGCTGTGGGGGGAAGGAAAGCCCAGGCACAGCCCAAGGACCACAGAAGGCTATTCATTATCTTTAAGTTTATTTAATATCTGCAGCTTCTGGAACATGCTCAGCGGCGGCGTTGGCACTGCCAGACGTTGTCCATCAAAGCGCCGTTTGTTCCAGCGCTTTGCAGAGTTCCCCTCTCGCCTCCTCCCCCTCCCCAGCCTCCATCCAGCCTCGCTGGGAACGGCAGGAGCGGGGAATCCGAGGGTCGGGACCGGCCCCGGGCCGGGGTTCGCAGCAGCGGGGGCCGCTCGGCCCTGCCCGGTGCCCGGGGCTGCCCTGGGCTGGATTTGGGATCCGCGCGTCCCTCCCGCCTCTCCAGAGGAGGCACCTCCTTATTCCACCCAAAAATGGGTGCCCGTGGAGAACATCTCGCTCCGCGGATCCGTCTCCAGCGGATTTCCGTGGGGAAGGGAGGAGGGGAAGGGCGAGGCGAAGGGAGGGGACAAGAGAGACAGGGACCTCCGCGGGGTCCCCCCTGCGCGGGGCGGGGAGGGTGGAGGAGGTGACACCGCTTGGGACGGGGGCGGGGAAGGGGATTCCACGAGCCCCCCCCCAAACGTAAACCTGGAGACCTTATGGATAGAAATCCCTAACGAGGGCCCGTCTGCAGCCCGTAATGACTTCTCGAAGTTGCTGCAGGTCTGGAAAGCATGCCAGTCACAGCCGCAGATCAATTCTACACCCACGGAAAGTGACTTAATAAATGGAACCTCGCCAGTTATTATCCTTGCTAACAGCAGGCCCCTTCTTATTTGTCCTAATTAGCAAGGCTGAAATGTCGGAGGAAAGAAGGGGAATATTCAATAAAATCTAAATTATTGAATGACTAAGATTTCGCCATTAGTTCAGCCATTCTTTACCTTCTTCAAAATGTCAAACAAACGGGGAACGCGTATTTGCAACGCTGCCCTTCTGTTCCGTGCAACTGGAGGGCATATATTAAGCAGATTAAGCATATTCGGCTCCTGATCGTTGTCAAAACACGGCAATTGCCTCGCGATTATTAACCCAGGAATATGCAAATGACTGGGCCGGCACGTGTTGCGGGCACGCCGAGGTAATATTTGTCTTGCGCTGCTCTAGTCTGGGGATGTGTTTGCTGAAGAGCCTCTCCAAGCCCTGAAGATGTTGAACCAACCCGTTAGAGGCAGGAAAACCTTCTGGCGGGGCAGGAGCGGGGCCTTTGGGGTGGGAACAGTCAACTTCTTCCCGGGAATCACCCCCACCTTCCTCCTGAGCCAGACTCCAGCGCTCCGGGAATATCCGGGAATATCCCGCCCGTGGCTGTTTTCTCAGAGTCCTTTTCCAGCACTTCCCAGCCCTCAACCGCCGGGATTTGAGGAGCTCCCCCAGTCTCCTCCACCACCAAAAGCTGGCAGAGGGAACCTTCCCTTCCTGGCCATCCCGGAACCTCCCGAATCTATCCCGGTTATTTTTTTCCTCTTTATATACACGGAAGGGGAAAATGTAGAGAAAGAAGAAACTGTCTGAAGGAAGCAACTTAAGATTCGCCGAGGTTCGTAGAGTTGGATCCAGTTCTCGACCCCAGCGGGATCCTGCTTACAGGATATTAATAATTAATACTGTCGGCCTACCAATATTAGCAATATCCCTGAAGATGTTGATAAACTCGTGGCCTCGTTAAAGGGAGGGTTAAGGAGCGAGTCCAGCCGGGCCTGCCGGTGCTGGATCTGAATGAAACCCGAGGGGTTTGGGACCCCCCCGGGGTCCCTCTGCAGTTACAGACCTCTCCCCTCCACTCTCACCCGGTAGAAAAGCTAAAATGAACCTCATGGATGGGACGAGCCGGGTGACAGCCCCACTCCTGCCCTGGGGACCGCTCAGAAACAGCCGAGGCGACTCACGGGGGAACGGGACAGGTTTCCCCGAGCCATCGGACGAGGAATTTGATCTCTTGGCGCAGAAGGAGGCGGGGTTTGAGGGGGTTGTGCCTCTCTGGAAAGGGTAAAACCCAAAACAATCGAAAGAGGCATTTCTCACCCAGTCTTCCACTCAAAATGCTGTGCAGGAGACCGAGAACACAAGGTGCGTCCCTATCCCGGGCTGACAAGTCTCCCATCCCCTCTGGGAGATGCTGATCACCTGGGGACTGTCCCCGACCCCGTCTGTCCCCTCCCCGCCCCCGAGAACGACAGATAAGAATTATTGTACCTTATCTTAATTATCCCGTGTTTATTCTCCAGCTCGGAGATAGCCCGGGGTTTGTAACCCATTAGAAGGATTCCTTCTGCTCGTCTTCGCGCTCCCGAACTCCGGGAGCGTTTTCCCATTTGATTTTCACTTTTTACCCCCAAATATAGCTCAGCAGGCTATGAGCTGACCAAGACACGAGCCGGGGCTATAAATTTCCCTGGGAATGTCCTTTTGGTGATTCCAAGTCCGCAGCCAAACACGCAGCTCAGCCCCAGCACCGCTCCCTATAAATCACCCCTGCAGGAGCCAGAAGTGACATTTCTTACGCACGACACGAACTTTCTCCGCAGAGAGTTATATTTAACTCCCGAAACGAAGCATCTCAAGACTCCGAGCGCTCCGGAGCCTTTGGAAATGCATCATTCCCTCCTTTTCCCCTGCACAAAAACCTCCCGGGTCTGTCTCGGGTGAAGATTTCTTACGGGGGTTTTCCCCACAAACTGCCTTCGGAGGGGAACGATCCCCCGTGTCAGGAGAGGGGTCTGAAAGCAAATAAAGCAGCTTTTAGAGAAAGGAGAGATTTCCCTTGCTCTTCCCTCCCAGGCTGGAGCAGCCCCGAGGTTCCTGGGGTCTCTCTGTGCCCCTCGGGTGGAGAAACTGCTCTCAAGAAAAGGATTATTTTAACAAGATGCCTCCATCGGGTCGGAACAAAAGGCGGGGGGCAAAAGACCCCCTTTGTTAATTCAGTAGCGAGGGGGGGCGGTTGTGTTTCCACCCCGGGACAGCGAACCTGCCTCGGATTTTGTCAGGGCGAGTCCCCCTGCCCGGGGTGACCGGAGGGGCCAAAGGCACCGGGGGTCTCGGGTGGGCAGGAGAAGTCCCCGCCACCAAGAACTCCTCGGAAAACCCGAGTTCTGCCGCTGGTGACCTCCCCATCCTCATCTGCCCGTGGATCAAAGCCCGGGGTTGAGGGGCGGGAGCTCCTGAAGCGCTTTTAGGCCGCGTCATCTGTCGGGAAGAGGGGAAGCAACTCCGTGCGAAGGGATCTGGGCCAGCGGGCAGGGAAGGGGTCTCCGCCTCCCCCGGACTGTCCCACCGCGCTCCGGGACAGCGCAGCTGCTTTTTCCAGGCGTCAAAGAGCTTCAAATTATCCCGCTCCGGTTTTATCCTCCTCAACCTCCAGATATTTTGTTTTATTCCTGTTGGGTGAAAGGCAGCAGCATCCCCCAAACCGTGTGGGAATAGTTACTGTCTCCCTCAAGAAATAAGCGAAAATCAAGTAATAAATAAACGAAAGGCTAAGGAAGGGGTAGAACAGAGCTCTAATAATTCGAGAAGCTCCATCTACACCTTTTCTTTGACCGTCTTCACTCTCTCTGCTCCCCGTAAAGGAGGATTTAAAGAAATAAATGTGTAAAGGGCAGAATTAGGCTCAGGCAGCGTTTGATCGTTAACAATAACCTGATATTTCTTTCTTCTGTGGGCTCTGAAGCTCTGAACCAAAGACAGATCTCACACTTTCCCCGCCAGAGGAATAAAGACCAATACCAGTAACCACAATAACAACATCGGTAATTTGCTGTGGGATCCAGGGCAAGGGACTACGAAGGAAATTTGGGAAGGCGATTCCCAAGCGATTCCCGGTGTCTCTGCACGCCCTTTGATCCTGGCGGCTTTCCAAAATCCCGCGCAGCCGTCACAGGAACAGGTGGGAAAGGGAGCGAGGGGGTGCAAAGCAGCGGGCTGGAAGCCTGGGAAGGGGCTCCGCAGGGAAATTGGGAAGCCGGCACCTTCCATCCCGCTGCCCCCCTGGAATGTGCCCGGGTTTCGCCGCCCGGGGTCCCCCGGCAGGTGAGACCCGAGGGGTGTGAGAGGCTGCGGAGAGGAGCAGATGGCGAGGGCCCCGCAGCGCCGGGGGCAGCCAGGGGGAGAAGGTGGAGGCCCCTTTCTGGGAGGAGATGGGCTCCAAGGTCCCATCTCTCGTCAGCTGCCCTTCACCTCCACGGAGGGACCGGCCCGGCCTCTCCCCAAGTGAGTCCGGCCCTGCCCATCCCCTCCTCCGCTCCCTCTCCTCCTCCACATCCCAGACGCCCTCATCTGATGGTCACCCCCTCGGAGGGGCCAAAAAGGCTTTCCCGAGGTGGCTCCAGCCCCACACATCCCCTCTCAGCTCCATCTCCACTTCCGCACCCCCCTCTCGTTGTCCCCAAAGTCGGGGCTGGAGCGGCCCCAGAGGAGGAGCCCGGGGAGCTTCCCTGCCTGAAATTCTGACTTCGTCCCATCCAGTCTTCCCATTTACCAAGGAAACTGCGTTTTTCCCTCAGGTCTAAACCTCGGTTTAGGCTTCGCTGAGAGGACGCACAGCAAAACTTTCCCCTCCACGACTCCCGAGTTGTCTCGGAGCTAATCCAGCAACTCCGGGAGGCAGCTGGATTTTAATGACATAAAGCGTCCCCTTGATGGAACAGTGGAGGGAGATCACGGTGGAAAATTATCAGACAATACGAAACAATTGATTCAAGGGCGAAATAAACATCTATCCTTTTCTTTTTTCATTTTACAGCCATAAATCATCCATTGGAAGCATCGTTTAAACATAATACATCCATTTGAACGCGAGTGCAACATAATATAAAAAGCACTCCTGGAATCAAATTAGAAATCGATTTCTCTTGCGAGGGGAACGACATGAGAGTTACTTTGAATCTTTATATTCACTTTGGGTTGTTTTATGCAAAGAAGGAGGCCGAGAGTCTCAGAGATCATTTGTAACCCAAGATATTCTCTTCTTGAGTCTCTCAGCATCAGCAAAGTCGGCAGAATAAATGAATAAATAGACACGCAGCTCTGGAAATAGTTTTCTTATTCTTTTTATTGAAAGATGAGGGTTGTAATTGGCTAAAACTCAGGTTTTCTCTCGGGGGGGGATTTAAAGGAGGGAAGAAGTTTGATGCCAAGGCTGCCCGTGCTGCAGTTTTGCTGTTTCTCGACAAATGTTCCCCCACCGCGTTGCATCAGCCAAACCTTCTCCCGCTGAAGGACGGGGGTTTGCCTTTCAAAGTGAACTTTTGGCCTGGGGTAAAAAAAAAAAAAAATAAGAGAGAGAGAGAGAAAGAGAGAGGGAGAGAAAGAGCCCTCCTGGTTCTCCTCGGAGGCTGAATAACCAGTAAATATCCTGACAAGTAACAAATGACTGTGGGCGTCATATTGTTGGGTGCTCTTGTCTCCCTTCTGCTAACAAGTAAATAAATGTTGCCTACCTATGTTCCCATTCTCTGGGCAGTGCAGTGGCCCGGCTGAAGGCGGTGGCTTCCCACCTACTCCTCAGCTGGACCCCGCCAGGAGAAAGCTCCGGCCTGGCAACAAATTCGGGGCGAGATCAAACGAGGTTGGCCGTGGAAAAGCAGAATTGCTCAAACCCTTAAACCCTTGGCTTTAGCAGTGGGTGTGCGGGTGAAGGGGTGGACGGATGGATGGGAAGATCCGCAGACAGACACACGGATCGTTTTTAGCCCCGTTCCTTAATTGCTAAGCCGGGCATGGTGTTTCTCCAACAAAAGGCATTCCGTCTTCCTAACTTTATTTCGTCTCCTCATTAGAATATTGATCTAATTACGCTGCTTTTACCCGCGCTGGCCCGAGACACAAAGCTGGTGCGGCAAAATTAAAACGAGTGGGGAGTATTTTTCTCAGGAGCTTTTCTTGGACTCCTCATCCCAGAAAACGCCAAGCCGCTTTCTAGGGAAAAGTTTCTAAGCCAATAAAAGAGCATCCTTTTGTGCCTGGGGGGACAGAGCGCTCACACCTCCCTATCCCCTTTCTCTCTTCTTCTTCTTTTTGTTTCTCGCATGAAACTGGGATGGGGGGAAACCTTTTTAAGTCGGGGCAAAGGGAAGTTCTGCCGAAATGGGCTCGCCGCATAACTCGGGGGCCTTTTTAGCACTTAAAACAGTTGCGGATAATTCCAATTCTTCCCCCAGCCCCTCTTGCCCTCCACCTCCCCGCACCCCACCTCCCTCCTCTCTTTTAAAGTCTTTGAGGAAAGATTTTGACGTATTCGTGTTGTTATCAGATTGATGGGCAGGGTTTGATTGAAACCCCTTTGTCATGCAAATGTCAGGCCCTTGATGGATGAGCTCGGAGCTGTGACAAACTTCGGGAGCCCCTCGCTCATTGGGCTGGGCCGACGCCGCGCCCGCCCCCGCGGCTCCCCCCGGCCCCGCCGAAGGCTGCGGGGTTCGAGGGCCGGCGATCCATGGAAGGAAGTTTTACAGCTTTGACATACTATCTAAAGGTTGTAGGGCAGGCGGGATCCCCCCCAAAACAGGCTGACCCTCCTCCATCAGTGGCAGATGGACAATACCAGGATGAACTCCTTCTTAGAGTATGCAATTTGTAACCGTGGGACGGGCGCCTACCACCACTTAGAGCCGAGCTCCCCTTCCTTCCCCTCGTGCTCAGGTAGCCCCGCCAGTGACACTTTGAGCGGAGACGGGCGCTTTGGCTCGGGAGGGAGCGCGGCCGCCGCCGCCCACCTCCCCCCGCAGCCCCCGGGCTACCACCCTCCCTCCTCGGGCCGGCCCGGGCCCTTCGCGGGCGCTGCCCCGACCCCCGGGTACCCGGCCCAGGGCGGCGGCCCCGGCTACGGCCACCACCAGCTCTACCTCGGCCAGCAGGACGCGGACGGGCTGTACTTCCAGGCGGCCGGGTACCCCTCCGGGCCGGCCTCCAACCTCGGCTCGCTGGCCGAGAGCTACTGCGGGGCGGTGGCGGCCGCGGGGCAGTACCAGCAGCAGCACCTTTACGGGCAGGAGCAGCCCGGCTACTTGCCCGGCGTTTACGGCAACCTCTCGCCTTCTTTAAACGAGGAGCGAGACCCCGCGTGCCCCTCCGAGCCGGGGCCCGGCGCCGCGCAGACCTTCGACTGGATGAGGGTGAAGAGGAACCCGCCCAAGACAGGTGAGTTTGGGGGGAGCGGAGCGCGGCCAGGGGGTCCCCACCCGAGGGAGGTGGGGGGCAGTTCCTCAGCCCTGCCAGGAAAAGGTTCCCTTCCCCGGGGTCTGTGCCCGAGGTGACTGGGCTCGTCTTCCATGAGAACGTGGGTTTGTTTTGGTTTGGGTGGGTTTGGTTTTGTGGGGTTTCTTTCTTTTTTTTTTTTTAAATCCCAGCCAGAGGTTTCCCAGACTCTTCCGATGGACGGTCCCTGAGCTCGGTTTCCCGCAGGCCCAACGCGATTTAAGCCCAGCTCGGAATGGGAAGAGCTCCGGGCTTCCTGCTTCTTCCACAGCCGTGGCTTTCCATCTCCCCTATTGTTCAACTTCCTTCTCCACGACCTTCCTTAAATCACAGCCTTCCCTCCTCCTCTCCCATCATCACCTTCACCCTCCCCTTCCACCCCTTCCCGCTCAGTTTGGTCTCACGCAGTTTTCGGGGAGACGGAGGGAATGGTTCCGAGGGAAGAGCCCGAGGAGCTCCGTCTCCCCGGGCCGGGAGCTGTGAGGAGCCGGGAGGGAGCGCGAAGGTCCGGGCGGTGGAGGGACCAAAGGCCCAGGAGAGGAGGGGAGCGGGGGAGAGCCCCCCCGCCCCAGAGAGGGGGTTCCTCCGGCCGCTCCTGCCCTGTTTTTTTTGGTCTTTCCCAGCCAAAGTGTCGGAGTACGGACTGCTGGGCCAGCCCAACGCCATCCGCACCAACTTCACCACCAAGCAGCTCACGGAGCTGGAGAAGGAGTTCCACTTCAACAAGTACCTCACCCGGGCCCGCAGGGTGGAGATCGCCGCTACCCTGGAGCTCAACGAAACCCAGGTCAAGATCTGGTTCCAAAACAGGCGGATGAAGCAGAAGAAGAGGGAAAAGGAAGGTCTCGCCCCGGCTGCCGCCTCCAGGTCCGCGAAGGAAGCGGGCGAAGCCTCGGATCAGTCCAACTGCACCTCACCTGAGGCCTCCCCCGGCTCCGTGTCCTCCTGAAGCGCGTCCCGCGGGGGCACAGAGCTCTGCCCTCGGGGGTCTGCGGAGCCCAGCAGGGCAGGACCACGAGCCTCCCCCGCACGGCCCCGCCACGCGTCCCTCCGAGCGTCCCTTCGGCTCCCCACGCGCGTGGCACCGACTGTCCCGCTCGCCTTTCTCTCTCTTAATTTATAGACCCTCTGCAAAACCACTGGACTCCAAAGGAGCAGCCGTGTCCTCCTGTATCCTCAGCAATAGGCGTTTGTCTCAGGGACGTTTCTCCCTCTCCCTTCTCCCCTCCGCCCTTTAGGAACTGCACTTTCGACCACAGAAAAGTTTAAAACGAATCTAGTTCTCTCCCGTCTTAAAAAAAAAAACCGTGCGCGACGATTTCTCCCCGCACGAGTCTCACGTTCGATGTGTTTTTCCTCCTCGCGAGATGCTAACCAAAAAAAAAAAAAAAAAAAAGAAAAGTTTCTGTACTTTCTTTCCCTCCCTCCCCCCCCCCCCCCGTATTTACTGTGTGTATATCTTGGAATGAGATCTGAGGCGCCCGAGATGCTCTAGACCTGTGCAAAGACCCAAACACCGAACAAAAAAAAAAAAAAAAAGCAGCTCCTCTGCTACCATTTTGCACTATTTCTGCTTTACAGGGTTTTTTCCACACGCTCTGCGACGGTGACTGCTGCTGCTCCGGGGGGAGGGTTATCAGAGAAAACGAGGTGAGGCCTCGGGGTACTTCGGTCGCTGTCGCAGGAGGTGTGAAGGTGGATGGGAACAAGGTTGCACTGATGCACTGGCTGCTATTTATTGTACCTCTCGATAGCCTCAAGTCTCGGAGCGCAGCAGCACGTTCCTCGCACCCCCACCCTCTTAGGCTTATCGCAGTCAGATAAACCCACTATTTAACCACGGCCAAATGTTTTCCCTCCCCCGTGAGAAGTTTTAGGGCAGGACGAAGTGAAAAACCGGGGCAACTGTTCGTTAAAAATCGTCTTAAAGGGAAAAACACCATCGAGGAAAAACTAGCGGTTTCTTAATCGGAATCTCCCATTTCCCCTCCGCTCCCCTCCCCGTGCTCTGTATCCCGAAATGAAACTACCTCAGCCTAATAAAGTTTACTTTTTCCACATGGAAGTCCTCCCGGTTTTAACGGAATGGGAATCTCTCCCGTCCGGGGAAGTGCGGGGCGCGGGGCGGGGGGGGCCTGGGCTTGGAGGGAGGAGGAGGAGGGAGGAAGGAAAAAGTCTCCGGCTGCTGCCAAAGCTTCCAAACAAAGGGGCCGAACCTGTTTCCTGCGGGTACCCCCCGGATCCCCCCCGGCACCGCCTGGATCGGGCCCGGCGCTGCGGGAGCTTTCAAAGCCCAGTTCGCCCCGTCGGGACCGGATGGAAACTCCGCTTCTCGGAGTTATTTCCCAAGGCAACGAGGCCTGATGAGAAGGGGAAATCATCCTCGTCCTCAGAAGCAGCGACAGCGACTGGGACGGACTCGGGGTCCGGGCTGGGGGCAGAGCGAGTTTCTCGTTTATACGGAACGTTCATAGGGTTCCAAACCAAAACGAAGCGTCAGTGTGGATCCTTCCCTTCAGCTTCCCCAGGCGACCCCGGCAAGGGTGTTTTCCCCACACGAATAACACACCAGAGCAGCTCTCGGGGACGGAGCCCGGCGGGGCGGGAGGAGGCAGCGGGCCCGGTAGAGCTCTGACCTTTTTACCTCGAAACGCCTCTGGGATTTCCAAACAAGTAAACAGAGGGGCTGCCAGGAGAAACTATTGTTCTGGCTTCGCCAAATTTGCAAACCTTTTCGGTGGGGGCGGGAGGGGGGAGAGGAATGAGCCAAGTACCTGCTGCGGCCGCGGCCGAGCCCGGCCCTGTCCCGGCTCCCCGGGAGGGCCCTGGGGCATCGCTCTGCCCCGCCGAGAAAATCTTACCCCGTCTAACACACCTCTTTTGCTCCAAGGAAAAGGTTTTTGAGTGTCCAATTAGCTCGGAGATAAGGCGGGGGAAAAAAAGCGGAGGAGGGGAATGCGAAACGAGGATTTTGTGCAAAACGCCAGGAGAGAAAAAAAACCCCAAACCAACAAAACTCCCGAGCAGCTAAAACGAACTTTAAAACCTGTCGGGGGGGAGCCGGCTTGGTTTAACCCGTTGGCGGGACCAAGGAAGATTTCGTTGCCCCTGTGTGATCTCAACTGGCTCATGGAAACAAGGGCGTCGTGCCTCAGGAACCTCGTGCTTTTCCACCCAGACCATTTTCTGTGCCCCGCTCTGCTCCCGCAGGGCACCGGCACCGGGCCTAGGACCGGCTCTAGGCCCGGGATCAGCTCGCTCCCAGGTGAGACGGGCAGCGCCGGCCTCGGAAGGGCCGGGGCGGAGCGGAAAGGCCGGGATGAAAAGGAGGGGACCGCTGTGTCAGTGTGGCGGGCACAACAAAGGCTCCCGGCTCCCATTTGAAACTCAAAGGGAGTCTCCGGAAGAGCCCTCAGAGCCGGGGCCGCTGCGCCCTTACATATGGAACCCCCCCGGGCCCCCCTCGGCCCGGTCCCTCGCCCCCCCCGCTGCCCAGCCGTGTTTCTCTAACCACCATCACCGCACACAGCTAATCTCTTCCCCCCCCTTGCTCTCCCTCCGAGTTTCTCACGCTCCCTTTTGTCTCAGGAGCCCCAAACCCACCGCTGGGAAGCAGGAGCCGGCTGGAAAGGCCACGCCGGGACACCCGCGGCTGGGGGTCCCTGGGCCGGGGGCAGATGCTCCTGTGAGAGCCGAGGGACACTCGTGTCTGTCCCGCACCCGGAGCTGATGGAGAGCGGCCCCCGGGGCTTCAGTACCCCCACAGGCACCTGTGTGTCCATGTGGGACACAGAAAGATCGTGCAGAAACCTCTAATCAAGGCTTGGCCCTATTGCCATACTTGGGCTTTATCACAACTATGAGGTCTACGCACAGTCTTTTTTTTTTTTTAATATATAAATGATGCACAACCCGTGGTTGTTTATAATCCAGATATTCCCCTGTCTCCACGTGCCTGTCCGTGGGTCCCTGCTATTGCATTTTTCATGAGCAGGAAAACGAACCGAGTCCCCCCCCCCC